TAACGTAGTGTGTGTGTGTGTGTGTGTGTGTGTGTGTGTGTGTGTGTGTGTGTGTGTACAAGGTATACATTTTTCTGTGGTATCTTTCAGTTGTGATTATATTGATCCCAAAGCTGCTTCTTAAATATTAAGCTTATATATAAAACCTAGCATAATCACAGCGATTTATCCGAAATGTAATATTTTCAGGAACATGAAAAACTATATTGAAAATATTCAATGTTTTTCGAAAAAGTTCTATTATTAAATTGATCAAATTAATACCGAGCGAATAATGTGAATATGAGAAATTTATTGAAGAAAAACATATTTCTGATGTTATGTATACACGGTTCAATTTTCATTTGCTTTGAGATCAGTGATGAATATCTCCTTATAACAGCATATAATTATTTTATCACGTCTTCAATTTCCATGCGATGAATTGTTCAATCAGATGCTCTTATCCTTCACATTGCTTCTAAATCAATACGAAATTTTAATATATATTGTCAACATAAAATATTTGACACAACAAGGCATATTAAATTACATCTTTTTGTACACAGTTACAGGCAGCTTTTGAATTAAATTCTGAATTAAAACTTTGCGCTATTATACATTTGCTACATCACTAAACTGACACAGATACCGGGCTTAAATTGTTAATTATAAGCTATCGTTATTATCACTTAGTTGTAAACACACAGTGTGAAATAAACATTCAAATTTCTATGTGCAAGATGAAAGCAGCATGATGTAACGATTTAAATGAGATAAAATATTCCTGTATAAAAACATTATTTGATTTTAATGTATATCTCATGCATTGCAGTTGCTCTGAGTAATGATGCTTAGACACGGACCATCTAACTGTAAAAGCTATAAAATTGTATTGCAAAATAGTGAATATATAAGTCATATTATGCTCATAGAAGAAACACAGATGTTGAATCTTATTTATAAATGTTGTGATTTTAAACTTTAAACTTGTTTTGTTTTTCGTCACGTATCAAATACTTTGCATTTTGATAAATTTGTATTATCTCTCATATTAATTTCCAATACTAAAAACTTAAAATTATAATACATATTAAATTCACGCCAATATTAAATTAAACATAATTGTATAGCAATGTCCTTCAGTCTTTCTCTCATTTCAACTAACTGTCATGGATCAATTCTTTATGCTCGTTATGATATACATGCAGATTGATACTTTTAATGATTAAATCATTCGTTAGACTAATGAAACTCACTCCCTCTTTGTTCTCATGTACGCATAATTTTAACATTATATGTAATATGTGCGATGTAAATCATATCATAGAATAAGAGGAAAGAGACAGTTGGTCCTCCTTTGATATCGGATAATAATAGCACATGCATTGCATATATGTATATGTATGTGTATGTGTGTGTATAACTTTTATTTAGACTCAAATCTAGTATTTACGATTTTTCAACGAAAGTTGAATGTTCCTTCATAACTCTTAGTAAAGAGTTTCCCTTTTATTGCGATTCGATTTATATATCACCTATTTTATGCAATGCACAACAATTAAAAAAAACCTGCATTTTCTAGAGAACTTATATCTTTATCGGATCTTACGAATAACAATTAAACAATACATACTATTTTATACTTTATACAATGCCGGACAGCAGCTATCTATAGTGATATAAGAGCTCTGTCTTAATTTACATTATTGTTTAGCATTTGGACGATTTGGATATTACAAATTCTTTACCTATCAACACGTATATCTAAGAAAATTCGAAACAAATCGATTGTACATCGACAAATTGTAACTGGACCGATCGTGAAGGTTGAAGACAATATCCTGGTGTGCATCATTTAACATCTTTTCACAATTTCTTTCATACTACTTTTACATTCGCGCGAAGAAATAAACGTAGAGATATATCCCAAATAAAAATTAAACCTCAATAATAATGTGCCACATAAGTCAAGTGTCAATGTACAATATTTCAACCATTTTTCATGCCTTAATACGTTTCCCTATCATGATTTTTTTTAGCACTAATAGATTGTTAATGTTACGATCATAGAAAATTAAATTGAATCAAAATGAAGATGTATAAATTATGAAATTAATAAGAGTTTGTACAAATTAATTTGAGAATCACGTTTTTCCCTACAGCAAAAAATAGCTTTGTCAATTTAAATAATGGTATCAAAAATACATATATATCTTATAATAATAAATTTAAACAACCCAAGACACAAGATAATAAACTTATTTACGCATATACATACTATTATTGCTCCAATCTACAACACTGATAAATGGATGCAATTTCGATCAATACGTTCTAGCCCAGCTTCATCACAGGGTTTGATTAAATTTAAGTATTCCACCCTGAAATAAACACTATTTATTTAAAATATTTCGCATGAAATATAATACTGCGCCAAATTATGTAATTTACTTGTTAAAAACAATTAGCACTGGATGAAAATTCCATTCACTTACAATGCTACTTCATGGCGAGGGTCTGCTTGAGGTGACGTATGAGATGACTACCAACGTCATGTACCTCAGGCCACTGTTTTAGCACAAACACTATACCCAGTACAACGAATGTAGTCGTTAATATACGCACCCTGCACATGAAACAATGAGGCTTAGTACAGCTGTAACAGACATGCAAAAACAAAACAAAATAATGTATGTGCGAAATAAATTTAGATAACTGATTATAATATGAAAATGAGTAAAAATTAACAAAATAAAAATAACACGACATATTAAAGAACAAAATAATATACACTATTGCATGATTATATTTCAGCACATTCTACATACGGAAATGTATAATGATAAATAAATAATATCAATCTAGATGAATCTAATTTAATAGTTTATTGTTATTATAGTGAAAAAATAAAAACAACAGAAAATGATCTCAAAAAAATAAGAGATAAAAAAGAAAAATTATTTGTACAATAATCTTACCTAGTTCTAAGAAAAGGCATCATAATACCAGCACCTGTTGCAACAAGAAGCAAAATAACTTGCAATACTGTTAATACTACATTTATCAACTTTACAACCAATGCTCTCGCATTGCTATTATCCAAACCCTCCAGCGTCACATATTGCTGGTGCTGTTGTTGCTGATGTTCCATTTTACAGATTTTAGTTTGACAACTTTCTAACATTTCATGTATATCTCGTAGTCTATCTTCACTTTGATATTGCACTTTTTCCTCCATATCTGTAATAGTCTGTTTTAAATTTTCTACTTCATTTTGATGTAACTCTGTTAAGTCATTGATTTGCTCTTCCAAACGTTCACATCTGAAACGTTCTTCTTGGAGGGAATGGGAAAGATATGTCACTTCCTGTTGTAACGTCTAGATAATAAGGACAAGAATTAGTAATGTATTTGTAATTTATAAATATGTAATCTTTGTTTTGTATTTATATTTTAAATTATATTTTAATTTAGACCTATCACATATAATTTAGATATATCTAGAAAAAATTGATTACAAACCTTAATAGTATCTAATTTTTCTCTCATTCTGTCAAGATTCTCCCTGTGTTCCTGTAGTTCTGCAAAAATAGATTTGAGACTCAAGGCTGCATTATTACTGTGACACATATGTGGCTGTCCTCTGCTACCAGGACCGCTTTCACTAGTCACACTAGAACACTCTGACCCTTCCTCAGACGGAAACTTCATTGCCGCTGCACTTTGGGTCGATGCCAGACTACATCCGCCCGGAAGTGTAGCTGATCCATGGTGAGTTTTATCATCTTCAACGCTAGCGTTATCACCATTACCTGCATGCGGTGTATCGTTTACATAAAAAGTCGAGCCATCTGTAGAGACACAGAGGTGGCAAGTTAGAATGTTATCCAATACCAAAGCTTGGCCTTTTGAAATAATATTATTTTTCGAGTTATTATATTATTCAGTTCCTCATAAACAATTGATTAATCTCTATCTTGTTCCATCTTTACTTTAAACTGTTGAAAAATAGCAGTTATTCCATAAAATGCTTCTATTAAATTGTAATAATAATAAAATAATTGATCATTTTATATATTATATATAATTTAACATTATTATAAGAAAGTATTGGATAACTGACAATAAATAAAGAAAAGCAAATGTGTAATCGTAAAAGCTATTGTAAATAATGTGATACTCTGCTACGTAACGTAATGTTAAATAGATATATGCAACAAAACACACGACGAAATTATATTCGACAAAAAATTATTCTGCATAAAAAAAAGAAACGGAAATTTAATAAGCAAAAGTTAAAAGCAAAGAATACAATATATAAGAAAGATAATCTTTAATATCTTATTTTACAGATAATGACATCATTATTTAACCATTTCTTTATAAAAAAAGAAAACTAAGAAGCTTAAAGCAATCGAAAAAATACGAACATTGTGCATGAAGCATATAAAAAAGTGTAACTCTCGCTCTTCGGACAACACATTACTTACTACTCTCAACTGCCATGATAGCAAAAATGTTAAAAAATGTTTATTTTCTTATTTAAGTATATTTTATATTTAAATAAATGGAAATAAGAATATAATCGCATGAATCATATTGTAAAAATTATATATTTTATTTTCTGTATTTAAGTGGAATAAATTATATATATTAGTGTGTAAAATTTAAATTGTTTTTAACTTGTTGTAAAATTGTTTTTAACCAAGTATTGTAATATGTCATATTTCATAGCTTGAGTAATATAAAATTTATTAAAAATTTAGCATTGCTACTTACGCGATAAAGTATTTATGTTATCAGCACTTCCAAATTTGTTTTTAATAAGATGAGCAAACTCTCTTGGTTTCGACATAACAGTTCTGTAACAGAATATGATTAGAAATATAAATGAACATATACAATGTTTTGCTTAATTGCTTTTAAATGTTTTTTCTCTTTAATCATTAAGAGATTGTTTTGCATTAATCTCCATTTAAAGTGATCTTAATGGAAATACGATTCTAAAAAGAAATAATGAATCAACCACATAAGAATAAAGTTTCAGGCATATTTAGGTATGGGATCTTCATATGAATGATTTTCATATGAACACTCACCCTGAAAAACCAGTGATTCCATCCCTAATATTTCCTCCTACATTTCTGGAATACATATTAGACAAAAATATTATCATTTTAACGTTTATCAAAGAATAATTTACTATAGAAATATATTGATATTCAATATTATTCAGTACTATTATAAGTTTAAATATTTTTCTCTAAATATAGTAAAAAGTAAAATAAATTTAATACTTACTTAAGTCCTTGTCCCATATCGCGTAATACTTCTCTCGGTTGCCTGTGACTCGTCGGTGCGCCATTCATTTCATAACTTTTTAATTTTTCATATAGCTGTCTAATTTTTTTTGTAGCTGCGAAATATTGTGCGCCGACTTTTGATTCTTCTTTTCAAATACCGTTTTAATCCTGGTCAATTGCTGCTTATCCGCATTAGCAGCCAATTTCAAATATTCATTAACATTTTCTAAAATGTAAGTAATGTATATAAAAATACATACAATGGTTTGTATATAAATAAATAATACATATCAAGAATTTTCGTCCTTATGTGTTTAACTTAGTTAAATTAAGAAAAGTTTATATACCATCCCGCGTGGTTTGTTCTATTCTTATCTGCTCTCGGGTTTTAGCAATTTTGCTTTGAATATGTTCAATAGCTTGACGAACACGTGTTGCACTAGAATCAACATCATCACTTATCAATTCAGAAGAGCCATTTGATAGGAACGATTGGGTTGTGTGGTATTGTTCCTGTAGAAATATATTGATATTAGTTTCCTATCCAAAATTGTAAAAAAATATATAAAAAAATATATAAATATAATATCAAATATATGAGAATATCTTTTAACACGACTTAGAAATAAAATCAGCTTAAAAGTGAAATCTTTGAATTATATATAGAGAATTTAAAAATCAGCAAATCTAAATATAATCTTGCATATAACATAATCATATTATCTCTTAATCTAGAAACTGCGTATTAGTAATTAGCGATTGGCCTTCTTACTATGTTAGTTATGCATATACAATATTATGTAACTCTTTATGTAAGAATAGAAAGACATGCTGTTATAAAATTGCATGTACATTAAGTCTACAAAGTAACAATTTTCTTATCCGCTTTGATACAAACTCTTATTATCTTGCAAGTTCATTAGAACCGAGATATTCAAAATTCTTCCCGAATCAGAAAATATTTTAATACACACTCCTTCATCGTCAGTCGGTGGATGAACATTTGGCACAAACTCGTCTGGTTCGGCAGTGTTTGAAGTATTACTTGGTTCATCCATGACATCCCCCGAACGAATTAAATTTCCTGGTGATCTTTGCCTACTGCTGCTTTTCATGTTGAGGCTACTTCCGGCACCGCCACCACCACTTCCACTGCCTGTGTTACCCTCGCCTGTTTGAGAACTAAAACAAATATTTGAAAAATATTATTTGTTACAGCTTCTTTAATTCACTAATTGGAATTTACAATATTTTAAAGAAATGCAATACTATTGTACAAATAGACTAACTTATAAATGTATGTATAAAAGTACACATAGATTTTATGTTAGAATTTAGAACATTAAATGTGCAATAGATAGTAAATTGTACATATATCTATTGCTAATAGAATCTTACATTGGAACATTACGCAATCTTGGAGTATGATCCAAGTTTGCTGTCGATTGTTGAGACGGTTGATACAGTTGAGACGTCGAAGGCGTTCTACTAGGAGATCCACTGCGTGAACTGTTTTTACTAGAAGTGTTTACCATCAGGCTTGCCATAACTTTCTTCTGAGAAGGTTGTCATCTATCTATTTTGTTTTAGCAAGTTCACATTGAACCTGCATAATAAATTAAAAATATTGTAAAAATTCTATAAAATAAAAAACATATAATATATAATGTAATATTATTAACAAAATTGGTTATAATTGTCCTTGTTATTAATCTACTTTGGTACTGAAATTGATAAATTAAAATTTGATAATTTTAAGCTACAAAATGCGAAAGATAAAATTAATATCAAGAATTAAAGAATTGAAATTGATCTCACATTGGACTGATTATTCACGCCTTTTGATTATTAGATAAAGGTTAATATCAACAGAACATATGATAAGCTTTATCTTATTATGGCTTATGATTCACAAGCTTTTCCTGAGAATAAATCGTTAATAGCAAAACAAGCAATCTCAATTACAGGCTCATATATTAATTTATAATTTTATCTCATTGTTATTTTTTCTATCTATGCGCTATAAATATATATTAATATTTCGAGCAACAGTTTTATTTCTTCTATCATAGCAATAAAAAGAAAATTTGAAGCATAATAAATTACAGAACAAACACTCCACTATAGCTGGACCCCAATGTATCTATCTTGAGCAGTAATTTTCTCTAAGAGACTACATTATCTAATTTATACTTTAAATATACATTGAGTACAGAGACTGCATCTAAATATAGAATGTAAGATACATTCATATAAAGAGAAATACTCTCATATCTCAGTTAGAGAAAAATTATTTTCATTCTGCAAACGATAAACTTTATACAAAAGTATCTCGTTATATTTCCTTTCTTATATAAAATTTAAGAAAATTATAACAATTTTTTAAAACCTTAACTAAATTACATCAAGGAAAACAAAAGCTTATGCTTATTATTAACTTGATATGCTGCATATGCATATTTATTATAAATTTTTGGATTATAAATGTAATTAATAAATGTAATTAATGGTAATAAATGTAATTAATGGTAATAAATGTAATTAATAAATGTAAAAGCTGTACGCCAAAGTTGCTTCTTTATTCTATCAATGCTCGTAGAAATGAAGATTAAAGGTCACAAACGTTTTTTCTCAGTTCTACGTCGTATCACCGTCTTCAATTCAATCGTATTAACTGATGAATCATTGCTATTATCATAACCACCGGTGTTGATCTGGAGCTAAGAATGCATAATAAATGGCACGCGACATTAGCGAAGATTACAGTTTCCTCTTGCTTTCGAGATTTTTATATTCACCTTGTTTATATGCTTTACTCGTATTAAACTATTTAAAATATAATCAAAATACAGAAACACAACATTAAAAAGCCGAATTGTCCTTTCTATGATTACAAGAAGAATGCAGAAATAAGTGACAAAGGCAATCTGATGTCAGGAACGGATCAGATATCAGGAGCGTGCGATCAGACATTCGAACGATCGTTAATTCTGCCAATTCGTGAATGACAAGACGCTCGTTCTCGTCCACGCTCGACGACAATGTAAACGGAATTGAACTTGCCGATCACGTGGCTGGCGAAAATCTCGGCGGTGATCCTTAGACGGCATCGGGTGGCTGGTGGCACGGTGTCACGATGCGCCACAAAATAACGCACACGATGTACGATGATAACCGCAGAGATACGTGACGGAGAGCGTAGGAGAGCGGAGGTAACACCGAACGCGCACCGTCACAGTTCGATTGTGGGTACGCGACGGCGTACACACCACATCAGCGATACGTACGTACACACGTACGTACGCGCACACTGACACGTAGCACAAACACACCAAAGCGCGCTAGTACCGCTCCAGAAGAAGAAATGGAAGTCCAGCCTCTGGACTTCACTCCTCGCCGCGCATTCGAGAACGAGAGCAGTGATTCTCGCTTATGCGCGATCGACCTGTTATGCGAGCACGGACTAGCGTGCGGTGGCGGGCAGTATCGATGAAAAACACACAGGACCGTATTAATAGCGCGGTGATCGCAGGGTCGGTCGGTCGGTCTGTCGGTCTGTCGGTTGGTCAGCAACGACGTAGAGGCTTCGCTAAGGCGAGATGATACCTAGAAAAATATAAATAGTAAAACTTGAGCAGTAAGCAAATCAATGTCAACTTGCATTATCGTATATATTAACTTCAATATCGATTTAATTTATTTTTTATCAGAGTTGAAAAAGTTAGTTTTTTTTTAAAGTTAATAGTCTAGAATTAAAAGTTGCGTGAACAAAAAAGTAATTCAGTTAAAAGTTACGTAAATATCACTTCAGTTAAATTAAAAGTTCATTTTAAAAAGCATTATTTATATTAAATTATAAAATGACGTAATTTTTTAGACTAGGTTATTTTGAACGATAAAACAATTACGAAATAAAATAAATTTTAATTTGAAAAAGATTAAAAACTTAAAATTGTGTTTTAAAAATAACTAGTTAAAATTTAAAGTTAACTTCGTATGAAATTAACTAAGTTAAAAATTATTAATTATTTATTAATTTCTTCTTTATTAATTTATTTGTAACTAATTAATTAATTAGATTATTTATTATCCAATCTTGTTTTTTATTTTTTTTAATTCTAATTAGGGAAGAAAAGGTAAAGGCTAACTATATTAAACCGAGATTAAAATTAATCTAGAAATTTATATACATGAATACAGAAGTTTTACAATAATGATCTTACATTTTCGATAATTCTCTTCTAAATTTAGCGTGATTTATTTACTGTCAAAGTCTTATCGCTTACGTTTTCTATGCGCCACTAGCTCCAATTTCTTCCTCTACGTTTACAGGCCGTTCCTACAAACAGGAAAAAGTTACCTCATTAAAATAGATCATCTTGCACAAAGAATCTTATACAAAATCAATCGAACGGCAGTGAACGTTAATTAATATAATTAAAAGACATACAAACAAAAGATTACACGTTATATTCTCAACTTATGACGGGCAATAAAGATCATAAAATTATTCCTCGATGCCGGGAAACGGGTGAACGATCCCCGAATTGGGCTTCTCATTCGCCTGTTAAATCCGACCGAGGAAAGAAAACGTTGAAGCAGAGACGTTTCTCACGTCGATGGCCACGCGTTAATTAGTCTCAATTAACTGTTCCTCGGGTGTCGTCGCGCGTGCGGGCTATTCATGTGTGTCATAATAATTCTACGGCGCGGACAGTGTTATCGTGAGAGAACAGAATTAAATCTTGACAGAGGCGCACGACGTCGTACGGCGTTATCGCGAGTCGTAACCGGCATGAGATATCGCGCCGCGTTGCAAAGGAGGCACGGGAGTAAATACGGAAACGCGGGATCGTCGACGGGAGCTGTCAAGTCGCCGTCTGGTCTCGTTCAGCGCGCGTAAACAGAAAGTCGGACGGGCGCATTCGGCGTGACGTATGCTCGATTGTCCGTGCACGAGGCTTAGGACTCAATTCTTGAACTTCGCAGTTTTGCACATATGTATTTTTTTTATCGTGTTTTTTTTTTACTCGTTGCATTACGAGTGAAAAATTGCGTGTATGTACGTTTTCCCGCGACTGACTCGGGAATACCATTCTAGGGATTTTCAAATGCGATTAACTCGTAATGTGCCAATTTGCGTAATTGCATTCATGTTTGCTTTCATCAGTGTGGATTAACTTTAATCTTGATTTAACTCTATCTTTTTCTAATTTTTATATTCATTTCCAAGTAGATCAAACAACTCTCATTTCGATTTATTACCTTTCTCTAATTGGAATGAATGAAAAATAGAAAACAAATTAAGATAAAAAATAAAACTGTTTCAACTAAAAAAGGTAAAAGGTAAGAATCGAAAGTTAATTTACATTAGTAGAAATAGATATTATTTCCAAAACAAAACAGAATTACATTTTTCTTTCTCGCTTTCGCTAAAATTCAAATATATATATATATATATATATATATATATATATAT